AAAAAAAAAAAAAAAAAAAAAATCCAAAAGTTCTGAAAAAAAACTATGTTATGCAGAAAAATAAACTGAACAACTTTTGCCTCAGGGTCACATCGAAATTCTTCACCAAATTTAAAACACAAAATAAAATTCAAAAATATTTTATTTTTTTATTTTTTTTTTAATTATTTTGGCCCGGCCGGGCAAGTGACCCCGGGCCACTCTGGTAGCCTAGGTTTAAGCTCTACCCCAAGGGCCAGGGCCATTACCCGGTTGCACTTTCCACGCCTAAGATCCACAGCCCCACATTGAGTAAAACTAAGTGCGGTACTCTTCCCCCCCGAAACATCACCAGGCCAGGGTACTGTAGATTTTGGCCCGGTTATTGTAGACAAGCAAAATGAACAGCACAGGGGCTGTTGGAGTGGTGGTTTAAGGAACATCGCGTTAGATTTTTCACACCAACATCCAAAGCATGTACGGTATTCAAATTTCAAACTGGTTGTGGTCGACGGTCTGTCCTTCGGGACATCTGTTAAAATTGGAGCAATAGAGAGAAGATTAGCATGGCAATAAAAAAAGAAACGAAAGGTCGATGGCCTTGAGATATCATCTTCCAACTGACAGGCAGCAGGTAAATTCAGACTTATTCTATTCATCGGACTCCATCTGTATTTGAACTGAGGGCTGCATTTCAACAGTTTGTGCGTGTACCAACTGAGATAGGTAGGCCCATCGGCAGAGAGCGCAAATGGGTAACCGTTACCCGTACCCGGCTGTACCCAACTGTAACCGCCAGGTTATGGGTGGGTATGGGTAACCCTTCCGAGGGGGAAGTTGGGTATGGGCAGGCACAAACAAAAGTTGGTGGTTGTTAGGGTGGGCACGGTTGTCCTTTTTGGAGATCATGGGTGGGTAGGGGCAGGTAGGGGTAGGGGTAAAAAAAAAAAAGTGGGTATGGGCGGCCAGAAAAAAAAAATAGACCGGTATGGGCAGGTACGGGTAGCCAAAAAAAAAAAGGGGTGGGTATGGGCGGGTAGTGGTTCCAATCAGGTAACCGTGCTACACCCCATGTGAGTCTTGTAGCTTTGCAGGCTTTGTATTTTTGCTCAAGAGTGACACTTTTCTCATATTCCAAATTTCTCGCTTTCCCCTGACGCAAATGTTTTTTTCTCGCAAAGGTGAATTTTCTATCTCTTCATTTTCTTATTTTTTGGTTTTCAAAATTTCATACCTTTTTCATATGTGTGTAACCTTGTGTGTGTAATATTTGTGTGTGTGTGTGTGTGCCTGTGTGTGTGTGTGTGTGTGTGTGTGTGTGTGTGTGTGTGTGTGTGTGTGTGTGTGCTCGCGTGTGTGTGTGTGTGTGTGAGAGAGAGAGAGAGTGTATGTGTGTGTGTGTGTGTGTGTGAGAGAGAGTGAGAGAGAGAGTGTATGTGTGTGTGACAGATCGAGGGTTGTATTTGCCGATGCTATACAGGTTGCATAGGCTGCTGTAGCACCAGATGAATCCATAGAAGCATCAGAGTGACGAGATGTAACAACTGTTGCTTTTGCGGCCGTAGCTTCAACAGCTGCCACATCTCGAAAAAAATAAAATAAGATAATATTATAATAATATTAATAATAATAAAACCTACCACATCAATCCTGTGACGGGTAGGGGGTTGAGAATAATTGGGGGCGGCTAAGGACAATTAGGGGCGGTTAGGGCCGGTTAAAAAAAAAAAAAAAAAAAAAAGGGTCGGTTGGGGACGGGTAGGGACAGTCAAGGGCGGTTAGGGACAGTTAGGGGCTGTTAAGGACAGTTAGGGGCGGTTATGGGCGTTTAGGGAAGGGTGGACGACGAGCAAGGGTGGTTACGCGTGGGTGCATACAATTATGGGTAGGTACGGGTGGGTACAGGTAAAGAAAACTTGGGTAGGATAGGGTATGGGTGGTTAACAAACGGTGGCCATGGGTGGTTTTGAAAAAAATTGTTCATGGGTAGGTATGGTCAGTTACATGCTGAAGAGGTACAGGTTGGGTAGGTCAGGGTATAGTTGTTTTTTTTTTTTAGCAGGTGGAGATGGGTAAAGGTCCAACAGGCCAAGTATACAGTGGGTATGGGTGGTTGGTTTTCAAAGAGGGTGTGGTTAGGTCAGGTACAGGTATTCTTAAAAATCCCAGTTGCGAACTCTGCCCGTCGGTGCCAAACTGGTTGTCAAATGCTCACTTCTCTATAAGACTATCCTCCTACAAGGGGATGTTCCCTCCCTCCCTGCTATATCTGTTTTCTGCGCTTTTTTCGGTTCAAATTGTGACGTCTGCAGCCCTGTCTTTGGCTAGTCGTCAGCTACCGATAGCAAAAGCATCATAGATAATTAAGTTAGGCACGAACCAAGGAATTAAGGCCTCACTCCACTACTGACCGCATGCCCAAAAGACAAAAAATATGGTGGTGTATCTTCCCATTCTTCTAGCCGAAACATTCAATTCCCCATTTTGCACATTTCTGGTCAAGCGAGACCCTTAGGCATGAAGGAAGGAAGTGTTAAGGAACATTCAATGCTTTTTTTTTTTTTAATCTATGATCGTGCCGGCCCTCGTGCGGCAATGGAACCACCAGGTGGATGCGAATGAAATAGCAATTGCTTGTCAAATTCATTACGTCCTGGAAACCATGGTTGTCAACCAGATGTGCGGATCGGGATCCAGACGGTCCGGTCTGGATGTCCGGATTCTGTGTCCGGTTTGAGGGGTTCGGTTGGGCCCCATTTCGAGAAAATTTGGAAAAACAAATTGGGGTCCCCAGGCGATTTTCCAGTGCCTGGTGTACCTTCAAAAATTGTTGCCGCAGTTTTTGGTGCACCGTTGGGCCAACCGGACCGGCCCTGAAGGGCCTGTACTTGCAATCTCGGGTGAGCTTTAGTGAGCTTCAGCGGGCCAAGGAGAATCGGTTGTGTGTGTGTGTGTGTGTGTGTGTGTGTGTGTGTGTGTGTGTGTGTGTGTGTGTGTGTGTGTTGTCATATTCGCTATACACTCAAAAAAAGCATCACTGTGCTGAACAGACTGTTTCGTCGGACTTTCACCGACTCATCAGGAGGTTGAATGCCGACGGTCTGCCCAGGATTTATTTGACTGATGGATAAGGACTGACGACATCGCCCAGAGTTTGCAACACCCCTGAGAAAAGTGGTATGTGTGTGTATGTGTGTATGTGCACGACACTGTGTCAGTCTGTGTGTGTATGTGATTGTGTTCAAAATAAGTCGGATAATACAACTACAGCAGTGTGTCTGTTGTTGTTGTTGTTGTTGTTGTTTTTATCCGGACATCCGGACATGTTCATTCATAACCAGACCGTCCGGTTCCGTATGTCCGGTTGTCCGGATCGCTGTCCGGATTACCAGACGTCCGGATTGATCCAGACACGGGTCCGGGCCCGGTGTCCGGTGTCTGGATGTCCGGGTCCGGGGCAACCATGCTGGAAACTTAGTTGGCATATTAGTATATAACATAATAACTGTATATTAGTATATTAGTTTTTTTTTTTAATTATATATTAGTATATTACAATAGTAGTATATTACAATATTAGTGTATTAGTAATTTAGTATTACTTTGTAACTTTGTAACTTCGTCTATGACCGTGTCGGGCCTCGTGCGGCAAGGGAACCGACAGGTGGAGATGAAATAGCAATTCCTTGTCAAGTTTCCTTACGCGCACGAAACTTTTCCGTACTCTTTTCTTTAAGTTTCTTACTCCTCATGCTTGCGGGTAATAAGCAACGGGACTGATGGCCCCCAGAATAAAAGGGGCTTTCTGTTTTGTTAAAAAAAAAAAAAGAAAAAAAAAAAGAACTTTTACGTATGCAGTATTTGCGATTTTGCATGTTACGTAATGGTTGTGTTTGATTTCTTTTCAGAAACGAGTTCGCAAACTTTGTATGCTAACGCGTCACGTGATGATTTTGATTTATTTGTTTTTTTTTGGCGACGGCAGGCGAGTCATAGTGGATGGAGACAAAGGCGACAACTTGCGGCATCTTGCAGCGACGCTAGTTCCACGAGAAGACATTCGTAGAGTAATTCTCTGCAGCGGGAAGGTAATTTCAAATTTTTGGACATCTGAAATGTGGGCTTGCCATGATAGCCTCTTAACCTCAACGATGTGAAACTCGCTGCAACCGCCTGGGTGCAATATGTTTCTTCATGGGTTGATGGGGTGCAGTACGTATGGGCCTACGATGTGGTACTGGTTGCAGAGGGGCAAGGTGCGTAGGCTATATGGTTCCAGGTGGGGTGAAGGGTGTGCGGTTAGGGTCTTCGGGGTCTTGGGGTGTCTGCGAGGTCTTCGGGGTGTTGGGGGTGTTGGGGGTGTTGGGGGTGTTGGGGGTTTTGCAGATCTTGGGGGTCTTGGGGGTGTCTCAAGGATCTTTGAGGTCTTGGAGGGGTCTGGGGGTTCTTGGGGGTCTTGGGGATCTTAGGGGGGTCTTGGGGCGGTCATGGGGGGGTCTTGCAGGGGTCTTGGCCTTCGGGGTCTTGGTTGGCCTTCGGGGTCTTGGGGGGTCTGCGGGGTCTTCGGGGTGTTGCAGGTGTTGGGTGTTTTGCAGGTTTTGGGGGTGTCTCGAGGATCTTTGAGGTCTTGGGGTTCTTGGGAGTCTTGGGGATCTTAGGGGGGGGTCTTGGCCTTCGGAGTCTTGGGGGGTCTCCGGGGTCTTCAGGGTGTTGCGGATGTTGGGTGTTTTGCAGGTCTTGGGGGTGTCTCGAGGATCTTCGAGGTCTTTGAGGGGTCTCGGGGTTCTTGGGCGTCTTGGGGATCTTGCGGGTCTTGGGGATCTTGGGCAAGGGAGAGGAGAAGAGGGACACATTTGCAAGCATGAGTTTGGATCGTCATAATTATGATTCCATTATCAATCGAACAAGCGGATGGAAGCGCAGCACTTTGAAAGGGCAACACAATCAACTCACAGGTATCTTCATATATTACTTCACATGAAATTAAGTTTAATAATTTAAAACTACACCAAGTTGACTTGTTTTTTTTTTTGTTTTTTTTTTCATCAAGTTGACTTGTCGTGCAATACCGAGGATGTTTTTCATCCATCAGATTTCAATCATTGCATGGAATCAGATTCTACAAGTACAATACGCTTAGCAATGCGAAGCACTTGCAGTCTTCTCGAAACAGTAGGATCCCAGGAAATCAGAAAATGCCAGGGGAGGGGGAGAGAGAGAGAGAGAGAGAGAGAGAGAGAGAGAGAGAGAGAGAGAG